CCAAGCTGATATTTAATTATACTTAGCCAGATCCAATGAAATTTGTTTCTGCACACCTTACTACTCACTTGCATTTAAGTAATATATTTCATCGATGTTTAAAATATGCCCAAATCCCAGTCTATTCGATGGCATAACACCATTCAACGCATTGTTTAAGTCGATTTCTTTTCTGATCATATTCAACATGCACATTCGTTCGAGACCACGTGGACAGCCAGGTCTCTACGCCCAGGTATATAATTGATAATATGAAAAAAAATGTATCTTTCTAAAATCTCTATTACAATGTAGAAAGGATGTTGCCGTATGACAGTTGTGCAATGTGGAAACGAGCGGCTTTGCGCTGGCAAACCTCTCTTTGCTCCGGTGAACTGAAGAGTCGCCACCGGTAGATCATTCCAAGACGCGAGCAGGTGGCGTTGAGGCAGGGCGACCAGTCGGCCCACGTTGTCATGGTGCAGGCCTCCTGTCTTGCCTGCGAGGTGCGAGTCTGGTCGCCCCACTTTCCTGAACGCGGCTCGTCAGGTCGTGTCAACTGGTCAGCTTTGCTCGTCGACTTTGCAAGAGCTGGAGGCTGGCCGGTTGTCGGCGTTTCAGCGTCGTCGCGTAGAGACGTAGCCCTTTTTGACGCAAAGTCGCTGGGCGGGCAAATGCCACGTCCGTCAGCCTGGGCCGGCTCGTTCGGAGAGCAGAAGCGCCACTCCTTCAAGGCCTGTTTAGACGAAGAAGAGAGGAAAAACAAGAGCTGGAAGCGGCTCCATCAGAAAATACCTTTTTCCCTCCCTTCCTCCCTCCCTCTCTCCCTCACACACAAGTATACACACACACACACACAAACATACACACATTGGTAGTCTTTAAAGCGGAGGAGACAAATTTTGTCACGTTGCGATGGAGAAAGGCTCGACCCGGATCCATTCGAGGCGTTCGACGCAAGAATCGGCACTCGACTCCGTCGCAATACTCTTGTTTTTGATTAAGCTAATCTACGGATCTCAGCTGTTCAACATAACAGCATAAAAGAAGTGGGTTGACCTCGTTGTCGCAACTTGGTCTTGTGCTCATGGAGACTATGTAGAACGCACCGAGTCCGAAGTCGTCTGACCGTGGACTTGATACATTCTCAGACGTGCGATGAGGCCACACTATGTATGCCAGAAAAGGCACACATTTCGATGATTGAAATGAGAAGTTGTGAT